AGGGTGAGGAGGAGGAGGAGGAGGAGGAGGAGGAGGAAGAGGAGTAGGAAGAGCAGGAGGAGCAGGAGGAACAAGACGAGGAGGAAGAGCGGAGTTTCAGGAGGAGCAGGAGGAGCGAAGAATGCCCCCAATTACAAAGTCCCAGAGCTGCAGGTACAGAGGTGGATGTTCAGTTGACGATTGTTTTGCCGTGCTCTATGAGTTCATTTGCCGTGCCACCAGATGGAGTAATGCACCTTTGATCGTCGCCGCCCAGGACATCCAGGTGGCGTTTGATTCATTGCACCACGCGGACGTGTTCCAGTGCCTCTTTGACTCCGGCGCCACGGCGCACCAGGTCTTGGCCATGGCTCGTGATTGCGACGACCTCAGGGCGGGAGTAACCGTGCCAGACGTAGCGACTGTAGAGGAGATATGAATGTCTCAGGCCACGCGCACAGGTGGCAAGTACGAACCGCGCGTATTCGTCCTTCTGGTAGATTCCGTGCTCGAGCGCCTGGACCTGGAATGGAATGCATTTGGCTTTGGTTTCAGGCTGCACGAATCTGGTGAATTGATTTCGAACGTCAGTTGAGTGGGCAATCATTTTCTTTTGGCTGCAGACGTGGGCATGTGGCGTGCGGACGCTTTCGGATCAGCGTTGATTTGCCCTCCAACTTTAACGTCGTGTTGGAGTGCCCATCGCAGAAACTCACGTACGAGGTAGTCGATCGCATGGAGGCTTTGGGGGGAGTCCTGTGTCCTGCTGATCCTACCAGAGAGCTGATCACCCACCGCGTTAGCAAGGAGGAGGCGTGCTTGCACAAGTACATGAAGGCATTCTGTCGGAAGACTCCAGTCGGCTTAAAGTTGGCAACGTAATGTGCCATGTCGCGTGTTGCCGCCTTCTTAGCCCCGATTGTTCGCTGGAAATCATCGACACTTTGTGGGATGCCATCATGCAGGGGCGATGCCGCATTTTTCGATTGAGGTCGAGACCCGACGAGAGCCGATTTGAGCTTCTACAGCGGAATTCGCGCAAGCTGGAAGCTCGGATGGCCCTGCCAGGCGCAAAGCCCATCCACGTTGTTATCCTTGAGAGAGTGCACAAGTTCGTGTGGCGCGAGCGCAACGTGGTGGCCACTGCAGTCAGCATCCGCAACCAGGGCGCGCAGTGGTGGGGGTCGACTGAGCAAACTCCACGGCGTTGACGCCAGGCCGCCGGAAGTGCGCGCAGACACCGGGGACCGCAGAGGTGCGATGATTTGATTTTGAAAGAAGTATGGGGCCCTTTTTGGCGTGACAGGCTTGAATTGCACGCGCGTAGGGGCGTTTGGGATAGTTCCCGCAACAAGCTTGTGAAGGACGTTTGCGAGGCCCTCGAGCTGCTGGTTCCACGGGCGCCCCCCGGCCTGAACGTGTTCGTTCCTTGAAAGGCAGTTAGCGTGAAGTCTGGGGATATCAATTGCATCCCAGTGCGGATTCCATTGGCCCGGGACAATTTATGGAACCGTCGCGGCCCCAGGCTGGCGGGCAAATGGAGTTCGTGTTTAATGGCCTGATGTCTCAAGCTGTATAGCAAAGATCGCACACGATGTTCACCTGGCACCGTTGGATCGTATCCGCAATGGCAATGGTCTCAGTGTGTTATTTGACAGTGCAGCGAGATTTCATTCTTAGACCAGGGATGCATCGCAGAAGAGCTTGGTCAAGCTGCTGGTTTACAGGTCTTCTGTGACGGCGGCTTTACGGGACAACATGGTGCAACAGCAATGGTATTGTTTGGAGGTCTTCAGGATGGCAAACAACAGCTTGGAGCCATATCAGTCCACGTATACCGCGCCCTGTCAGCCTTCCACATGGAAGTCCCTATAGACATGGCCGTTTCGTTAGAGCAGCAGCTATTTCGAACGTGATTGTAAACATTCGCGTGTTACCTGCGTTGCTGCCTTTGCTTGCTTATCTGTCCTCCTCATGCTGTTCCCTTTCCTTGTTCAATGTGAAATTGCTGCGATATTTCCGTTGCGCTATCTGCAGTCTGGTATGAAGGCAATCAACCCGATGTGGGGCGAGTCGCCCCCAAAAAGAGTTAAGAGGAAGGGGGCGAGGAGGCAGGAAGCAGGATGGGAGGAGGAAGTGGGAAGGGGGGCAGGCGGAGGTGGAGGAGCAGGACGAGGAGGAGGAAGAGGACGAAGGAAAAGGAGACGTGACCGCATTGCTCTCTTTTGAAGCGAGAGCTCCACGCATGAGGGTTGGGAAAAACAGTTAAGGCAATGGGAAGGGATCGGTGGGGGGAGGGGTAGGACATGTGCACGCGGACCTAACTTGCCCTTCTCCTCTCTCCCTTTTCCCTACCCTAGAGTTGTCCAGAATTCCAGACAGCCTGGCCGCGTGTGCCTGCGCGAATCTTTGGGCGACGCAGCCAGCCTCTTCTAGGGGGCAGGAGGAGGAGGAGGCAGATGAGGAGGAGGAGGAGGCGCAGGAGGAGGAGGCGCAGGAGGAGGAGGAGGAGGAGGAGGAGGAGGACGAGGAGGAGGAGGAGGAGGAGGAGGAGGAGGAAGAGGACGGGGGGACCAGGCGCTTCGGCGCTGGTCTCGCCCTGTTACTTCGGCCGTGCTGCCGCAGTCCAGGGCCCCTATGGCGAGTGCAGGGTGCTCCGGGGAGAGTTGGTTGTCTCCATGTGCCCCTTTGATCCGGTCCTTGCGGTTCCTTCTTCGTTCTTCCGTCGTTCCTCTCCTTAGTCTCTCTTTTCTCCTCCATTCTCCATTCCCGCTCCTCTCTCCAAGTGTTTCCTTCCTTCAAGTGCTATGCGCATTGCAATCTTGGTTGTCGTGGTATGCGGGCGCTCAGTAGTCGCAACCTGTACGAAAGTCCAGCAACGGACACTGCGTCGCATTGGCGCGTTGGACACTCCCCAGGAACAGCATCCTCATTTTCGATGAGGGCCACAACATCGAGAGGTCCTGCGAAGAGGCCGTCCTCAATCCCAGAGACGGACGAGCGCGTGATGGAAGGAGAGCGAGGGAAGAGGGTGGAGGGGGAAGGAAGGGGAAGGATGAGTTGGGATTGGGTCGGGACGGGACTGGATGGGACAAGCAGGCTGAAGATGGGAACGGAAAAGGGTGGAAGGCAAGGCGGGAGAGAATGACACAGGTTGCAGGCAAGGGCGGAATGATGGAGGAGACGAAAAGCAGCGGGTGGATGAATGAGGTGGCCCTCACGTCCTCTGGTGCCTGCCGCCTGCCACCTTCTCCCCCTCCGTCGTGATCGTCACTCTGAAGCGAGCGTTGCGGCCCTTCCCCTATCTGTTCTGCGCCAGATCTACGCGCCAGCTGTTCGCCTTCTGCTGCCTTTTCTCTCCTCGCCCCGATTTCGTCTCTCCTTCTCCTCGTCCTCGTCCTCGTCGTCGTCGTCGTCGCCGTCCTCCTCCTTCGTCTCACCATCTTTTGCCTCCTTGAGTCCGTCAATTCCTCGCTTCGCAGCATTTGGGAGCTGTGCCCGGGCGCCGATTGTGTGTTCAACAGCAAGTAGCCCTGTAGAAGGTGGCCTCCAATCTGCATGCATGGACCGGCCAGTGTGACCACTGCGACCTGCGTTCTTGCTGCTGCTCCTCCCGTGACTCTTCCCCGTGTCCTTCCTCCTGCTCGTCCCTCATCCTGCTCCTCTCCATCCTCTCACCCTCACGCCCCCTCGTCGTCGTCGTCTTCTTTGTCGTCTCCGTCGCCCTGCACCTCTCCACATGCTTCTCCAGATTCTCCTGTCTCCAGCTGCCCGCTCGCGATTACCCTGCCACCTCTCCGACTTCCTCTTTGGAAGCGCACCCAGGGCAACGAGCGCTCCAGAGGGCTCAGAGATCCCCTTGGGCTTTTGTATTCTGCCTGCCCGCCTTGCTGACCTGGAGGAGCAGGAGTAACTAGTTGGAGGTCGGTGGGTCCGTCCCTCTGTCCGCCCATCGTTCTGCCTTTCTGCCTGTTGGTGGTGAGGGTGGTGGCTGCTATCGCCATCGATGATACCGCCGCGCCGCGTCGTCGTCGTCGTCCTCGTCGTCGTCGTCGTCGTCGTCGTCGTAGTCGCCGCCGCCGCCGTCGTCATCGTCGTCGTCGTCGTCGACGTCGACGTCGGCGTCGTCGATCAATAAACATATTCATGTTTGACGGCCTGAGGCTGCATCGCTCGAACTTCGTTCCAGCGACATCGCCAAGGCGATCTGCCCAGCAGTGGGAATGGCTCTATATGCTTTGTGCCTCTCTCGATCTTGGAGCTATGGCGTGCGCCAATGACGTGCTGTGTAGAGGCACGACGGTTCCTTCTCTTCGTGCATGGGTCGCCCGCGCTTTGTAGCTTGTCTTTCCTATCTGCACGAGCGTTTGTTTGCCAGCATGTGGAGACAAAGACTGTCACGCGTTGTCGATGGAAGGCGCAGTCGTGTTTGCAGAAGTGCGCATTGGTTACACCCTTCTCTCTGTCTCTCTCTCTCTCACTCTCTGTCTTGCTGACTTGCTCTCCATCACCCAGTATACGTATCTCTGTCTCTTACCCTCGGTCTCTCCCTCGCTCTCGATATACATATATGTATATGTGTACATAATATACACATCTGTAAAACAACAAACATGTGTAGTCGTGTGCGTCTGTGTATGCAAAACCTGCTTCGCTGGACCGCTGGTTTGGCCACGAGACCGATCTGCCTAGCAGCATTTGTTCTTTGCGCTTCACTGTCTAACACCGCCCAAGTGATTCAGTGGCCACAATTCGCCTCGGGCTGTCGCGCTTCCCTTCACTTTGAATTGAGTGCTTTCCTCATTTTCTCGCCGTTGCATGTGCTTTCGGGCTTGCAGTTCCTCGAATCCATCCCTCGCTTGCATTTTGCAGTGTGCCACACGTGTACGCTGCGCTATCGACATTGCGCGGTCGCAGTTGGCACTTTCATCTGCTGCTCGGTCCTGAGGACCCTCTGCGCCGCTGACTTAAAACTGTGCGTATGTGTATGTATATGCGCATGTGTATGTGTGAATCTATGCATCTATGCGGGTATGGTGTTATTACGGCGGTGCCAGGATCAATTGGATTCCCAGCCCGCTGCCTAGCCTTCCTCCCTGTTTCCCTCTCTCGCTGCCTGGCTATACCCTCCTGGGCTTGAGCGCGTTGCACGTTTTGGCGCAGGAGAGTTTCCCTGATCCCATCTTGCTGGCCGTCGTCGTGATCGGCCTCGTTCCGGTGCTCGTGGGCTTTCTGACATTCAAGCATCGGCTGGGCCTGGGTCCAGCGCTCCCCGGCTTCGGCCACCGGGTAGTCGTGTCGGGGACGGAAGGCCCCATCGCGCTGGGGGCGGACGGCCCCGCGCATTGCCTGGTTGGCGACACGCACTCTGCTAACTTTGCCTGTGGGAGTGCAGTCGATTTGCCAGCGATCTTTGGCTTCGACAATATGCAGGACAATGGCGCGGGTGTCAGTCTCAGGAGACGTCACGAGATGATTGCCTTCCCTGGCGAGGAGGGCTACGGCATCACCTGGGACCTGGGGGCGAAGCTCTTTCCAATGACGCAGGCCTCGTCGGGCCGGCTGTTGTTTCCTTGCGACCATTTCGACGACGTAGCGACAGAGGGAGCATCGAGTTCGACTTTCCCGACAACATGGGCCGTCCAGGAGCCTAGATAAGGGGTATGGTGGCGCCCGTCCAGCGCCTGCTTGCAGAACTGAGTCCTTGAGGCCCCTCGCGCGCATTATCATGCTTTAGTGAGCAAAAGTTTAAGAGAGGCTTGCGTCGATCTCCGCGCTGGGGGATACGCGTGTGACCGAGTCACGCATATTGAAGTCATGACCGCCGCAAACACATACATCTAGGACATCTGCTGTCAGGAGACCTGTGCTTTGGTGCAGCACGCCGGCAGATTGGTTTGTCGCGGGACCGCATTGGCAACGCAACGGCACTCTTTCGGCGAAAGCGAAAGGGTTGAGCATGCGCGTTGTGCTGTGTTAGCTTCCAGGTTTTGGAAGCTTACGCCAATGCGTGCTGCCGTAGACTATTCCAACATACGTGTAGTACGCACGCATGTGGCTGCGCCATCACATGTAGCCGACCCTACAAGAAACAAGCGGTGCATACATTCATGTAGCTACGACCACGCGAGCAGAAAACAAACTACGGCGCCCGAAACATGTCCAGGACCATGTAATGGATTGGTGCTGTCACAGACCGCAATATGCCGAGTTGCGACAGCAAACAATAGTCCGTCTTGTCGAGGTGCGCAACGATCGCTTGATGGGCGGGGGCGCCAAATCTCCCAGCGTGTTCCTGACGCGCGCATATGTCAAAAAATGCAAGAAAGCCCTTCCATGTGTAGCGACATTGAAGGGGGGCCTGAATATAGCGAAATCTTCAGACGAGTAGTAAAGGACTTTGGCGCAAACAGAGATTTACAACATTTACTTTTCCAGGATCAGTCGATCGGAGGCGATTGGGAATCCTTGCTCCCGAAAGGGGCACATTATGCCAGCGCTACACACTATGCTGGAAGGACGCCGGGCCAGATTTGATTGCGCAAGAGGGTCACTCCCGAAGATGCCGAAGGCATTCGCCATCTTGGATGACTGTCTTTCCCCTCTCCCCCGACTCGTGAATTGATTGCGGGGGCGACCTGCCACGGATGTCACGACGCCCACCCCAATCTTCGTTATCTGCGCGAACCGCGGAGGCGCGGCCGGCTGATTTGCGAATTCGACAGAAACAAATCATATTGCAGACTACGAAACCGGGGCCCATCCGAGAAGGATCTATAATCGCGTCGGTGGTGGTAATGGCGATTGCGCAGAGGGCCCGTGCAGTCTGGGTAAAGGCACCGCGCTATAACGCGGCGGTGGCGCACCACCCGAAGAAATAGGATCTGGTGATGGCGAACGACAGCGATCTCGCCTCGGACTCCCGACGGTCATCCCGGAGAAGCACAGAAATTTGTCATCTTTACGCAGCGGGCGCAACGTGTGCGCGGACATGCCTGATGTCTGCGGTGGCTTAGGCGCCGCATCTCCAATCGCCGCACCTCGATGCTTGTCGCGGACTTCGGGGCTCCGAAGTTCCAAGGGGCAATTGGCCACTATCTGGTCCTCTGTTATGCGTCAGTTGTTATTCTCCAGCCGGCGCGTCGGACCGCTGGCTCTTCAGCCTTCAGGCCGTCTCAATGATTGCGAAACTTGGAAGGATGTTCGCGCGTGAGACTTGCCGCGAATTTCATTTTTGCAGGAACGTGGTTTGCGCGCCGCGATGCTGGGGGGCGCCTGCTGCGATGGCAGCCCGTGCAGCGCGGTTAGAGGTCGTGCGTCTTTGGGGCAAGCTTAAATTTGGCATCGCTCGGACGTGTGCATTTTTTCTCGGCGAGGACCTTCGAGGAGCATCCTTGACCATCTGGCGAAAAAAACACGCACGACACAAAAAAACCACAGGCAATGGGCGTCCGAGCGATGGCCAGTAAAGAAAGACCAAACGTCGCGTGCGTGCACGTGGGCCGAAGTGCAACTGGGTGGCGAGACGACGGCGTCGACTTGATCAGAAAGCCGGCGCAACCTTTTAAAGGGTTGATTCACGTGCAAAAGGCAGCCTTCAAATGATTCACGTGCATTGGCCGACGCGTCCACGCGCGGCCCTAAAATAGGCAAATTGCGATGGCAGCTGTCCGCGCGAAAGCATGCGGTGCGCCGCCGTGAATGCGGTTCCAGAGGCCGAGCAGACAGGTCGTCGACGCGGAACCGCGTGGGCATCACCGACTACCGAAACCGGTCCAGGACCAGGTGACTTGGCTCAAAGAATCGCGCGGGCCGAGACGCGAGTGCCACCGGGTGGGGGCGTTTGCCTGGATTGTGCCGACGACGTTCGACGGGCGAGTCTCACGCGCGATAGAGACTAAACCCATTGCAGATGGTGGGGCGCCCAGTCCATGAATTGGAAATGCCCGTCCTGCGACGAGGACTGCGGCTCGAGCGAGAAGGAGCGTGCGCTGGAAAAGGGAAGCTGCCGTTTTGGCGAGCCGCCGTGCGATCGCCCGCCCGACTGCGATCCCGCGCAACCAATAGTCGCCGACGAGGAGCTGCGCGAAGACCTGGCGTCCGGCGAAGGCCGCGCCCGCGCGCCGGGGAGCTCGCTCGCCCGAGACCGCCGAGGCTGCGAACGCTTGGGGCGACTGCAGGGTCGAGCGGGTGCGACGCTACAAGACCCGCAGTGGGCGAACCTGGAGACGGGTCAGCCAGCGGCTCCAGTGGATCTGGTGACAGATCGCTGGTAGGAGCTGGACGTGGTAGGCTTCCACTCGCACCGCCCCCGCCTTCTGACGTCGATCTTTCGCGAGTCTGGCGAAAACCCAAAAGTCAGTGTTTCCTCGGGCCCCCCGCGACCTCCTGGCTGGACTAGGTTAAGTGTTCTCAGATGAGGTTGCAGAGCCTGATGAGTTGCGAACTAGCGTCATCAAGAAAGATCCCAGGATTTTTCGCTTGAAGGATCGACGCGCAAAGGAACCAAGTAATGCGAGTTGTCGTAGGAAAGGTTGGACTGGGCAATGAGTTTGAAGGAATGTGCGACACTTGCAGATAATGCCGCGGATGGGGAAACCTGGGAACTCTACCACGCCTTCAGTCAATTTGCATGGGGCGTTGAGTGCTGAAACAGACTGTGACCTGCTGTTTTATAAGACGTTGTTAGTTGTATGTGTGTATGTACATACATACATACACACACATATATATATACATATATATATATATATATATATATATATATATATATATATATATATCCAAGACTGCAGTGGCGCTTCGCGCCATGCACCTTGGTCCTTGAAGCTTGGTATGCAGGCGGAATAGCAGGCAGGTCAAGCCGACAATTTAGCGATAACTCCTTGTTGCCTCTTCCAGCATCGCCGCTATAGTAATGTTATTCGGCATCCTTCCTCCATGCTTCTTTTTCCTTTTTTTCGCCATACCCTGGGCATTCTCCCCATCCTCCTCAGCTCTTTTTTGCGGAGGCTCCTCCTTGGAGAGCCTCTGGGGGCCTCGCAAAAGTTGTTTCAGGCTTTCTTAAGGCCTTCTGGAGGCGTCCTGGGCGTATCCTGGGGGCCTCCGGGGGCTTCCTCGGGCCACCCTGCCTCCAACCGCGGTCTCCCTGAACGAACGGGTCACGATTTGGAATGCTTCGGAGGGTGTCTTTGGGCCATCTTGGGCCGCCATGGGGCTCTCTGAGGACCATCTTGGACCCGTGTTGTGCCGTTTTGGGGCTCTCTTGGACTGCCTGGAGCCTTGTCGGATGGTTGTGGGGCGATTTTGGAGCCTCCCAGGCGGCTTCGGACGCCCAGAAGATCGCCGTCTTGGAGCGTCGGGAAGCCGAAAAGAGGAGAACCCCAAAATTCAGGGGTCTCTGGGACGTCCCCGATGACCCTCCTGATCGCCCTAGGTGTGTTGGGAAGGCTTGGCAAAACGCCCTGCGAGGGCCGGGGGCCGGAAGGTCCCAAAGCCCTAGACCCTAGATTCCGTGAGTCCGTTTTTTTTTTGGGTGGGTGTGACGGGTTTTTCGCCCGCCCGGGCTTGTAAAGATATAGAAAGAGGAATGTATGCACATGTGTATATCTATATGTGTTTTTTGTTATGACAGGGTATATGTGTTTGCGTATGCATGTGCATACGCTTATGTATATGTATATGTATGTGTGTATGTTTATGTGTGTATACACGTATATACGTATATGGTTGTTTATGTACATGTAATTGTATACGTCTATGTATGTGTATCTGCATATGTATGTGCCTCTGTATGTGTATACGTGTATGTGTATGTATATGCAGATGCATGTGCATATGTATAGATGCATACATATGTGTATGTATATGTCTAATTGTATGACTGTAGAATTGCATGTACATTGATGTATGATGATGTATATATATATATATGAATGGGTATGTGTATATGTATGTGCATATGCATGCGTATATGTACATGTACGTGTATACATATAGGTATACGTGCATGTTTATGTACATGTATGTGTACATGTATATATTCATGCTTATGTTTAGGTGTCCATATTTGTGTATGTATATGTAGATATCGATGTATATGTTACTTTTTATGTATACGTATATGTATATGTATATGCGTGCATGTATATGTATATGTATATTTATATGTATATGTACATGCATATTCATATGTATATGCATATGCATATGCATATGTAGATGTCTATGCATATGTGTATTTTTTATGTATGTGTATATGTATATGTATATGTTTATGCACACCTATATATATGTAATATGTATACATATATATATGTATATATGTATGCTAAGGTCTATGCATTTATATGTGTATATTTTTTGTATAGTTATAGATACATGTACATATGTTCATGCATATATGCATGTATGTAGGTATATCATCTATACATCTATGTACCCGTGTACTTCTTGGACCAGTACGGTTCCCTGATTAGCGCGCGCCAGGGCAAGAGCCTGACGTCTTTCCTTTCATGCGCTGTCGTTGTTGCCGTGTACCCGTTTTGGGAAGAGAGATGCGAGTATGCTCCTGCCTTCCCCCTCCCGATTTTAAGGGGGCCGTATTGGGGGTTGCAGCAGGGCGGTCTACGTATCCGCTGCCGTTTGGTTCGGGTGGTTGTGCGATTGTGCAGGCACGCGCGTCTCATGTGCCCGGACACCCTGCGGTCGCTATTTGCAGGTAGTCATTCGCACTTTCTAGATACATCCATCGTTCTTACTATACGCCCCATACTTTGATGAATTATGCATATCCAGCGAGAAGGATATTCTCGACTCACGAAGGCTCCCTGGGGCCGTTTTGGGCTGTCTTCGGGACATCATGATTTACCAGTTCTCACAATTCCCACTAGGACAACTTCCCAGGAATCCGTCCTCATGGTTTGCTTCTATTTTTCTCCCCTTTCTCTATGTCCCTTCTCTGCTCCTGTGGGTGGAAGCCCTGCGGTCCGCGAGAGAGTTTTGATTTCAATGGGCGACCGGTTCAGGGGAGGGGAGGGACACAGGTGAGAAGGGGCGCCATCCTGAACTCGTTCCCTCTTTAGTTTTCGCTTGTTAGAAACAGGCTTATCTTTTTTTCCGCTTCTTTGGGCGTTCTCGACACGGCTGGTCTCCGTTCGAACGTTTTTCTATGATGCACCCTTGGACGAATTCGGGGTTCGATGTGCGACCCCCCAGGGTTGGCTTCTTTTATGAGCAGCAAAACGAAACTTATATATATATATATATATATATATATACATATATATATATATAGATATATAATATACATATACACGATACAGGAGAAAAACCTCATCCATAATCTTTTGAGGGCTACAGGGCTATGGGGCTATAGGGCTATAGGACCATAGGGCTACACGTCTACAGGGCTATGGGGCTATAGGCATATAGAGCTATAGGGTTATAGGGCTACAGGGCTACAGGGCTACAGGGTTATAAGGCTATAAGGCTATAGAGCTATAGGGCTATAAGGGCTATAGGGCTATAGGGCGATTGGGCTATGGGTCTGTATGGCTATAGGGCTATAGGGTTATAGGGCTATAGGGCTATAGGGCTATAGGGCTATAGGGCTACAGGGCTATAGGGCTATAGGGCTATAAAGCTATAAGGCTATGAGGCTATAGGGCTATAATGCTATAGGGCTCCAAGGCTATTAGGGCTATAGGTCTATATGTCTATAGGGCTATAGGGGTATTAGTGCTATAGGGCTATAGGGCAATAGGGCTATAGAGCTACGGGGCACACGGGCACCCAGGCACCCAGGCACCCAGGCACCGGGGCACCCGGGCACCCCGGCACCCGGGCGTGCTGCCGAAATCGGCGCCGCAGTTAACCCAGCCAGATGAATCCGCTAGGACCCCTACAGAGGCAAGCTCTGATTGGTGAATATATACTTGCGAACAGCAAAACGAAACGTTTGTACATATATGTCGGCGGTGCGCCGTGGCACGAACCCCCCCCCCCAGCACTACCGGGGGGTTTCGTGCACTACCGAGGGGTTTCGTGCAGCCCGCACTGGGTGCCGCCAGCGGCTTAGAACACCCCCCCTTGCCGCTTTACCGGGGGGGTTCGTGCAGGCCGCACTGCGTCTACCTGGGCTCCCCCCCCCCCCCTGTGGGAGTGGGGGGGTGGGAGTGGGGGGTGGGTTGGGGGGGGGGCAGGGGGGCGGTTGGGAAGGGTGGCTCCCTGTCGAAGTGTGGCGTGTGCTCGCCTTGTGTTCTCTATTCGCGTCTGCTCGCCTTTGTTCCGCCGCAGCCTCTCGTATTGTGGCTCGTGGCCACAATACGAGAGGCTGCGGCGCAACTCCCGAGAGCCGCTGTGGGGGGTCGACGGCACGGCCGCGTAGAGAAGAACAGTGCCGCCGTGTTCCGGCACGGCCCTGGGATGCAATGCCGCCGCCGTGTTCCGGCCCGTCCTGGTAAGATTCGCGCGTCGGGGCTGGGTTTCGCGCGTGCTGGGAGCGCGCCGCTTACGGAGGGGTTGCGTCCTTACCGGGGGGTTTCGTGCAGCCTACCAGAGGAGGTCGTGTTTACCGGGGGGTTTCGTGCAGGCTCGCACCGGGAATGGCGCCAGCTCGAAACCCCCCAGGAGAGATTACTGGGGGGGGGGTTTCGCTCCGCACCGGGCACCGCCGACATATATGCATGTATGTATGTATGTATGTATGTATGTATGTATGTATGTATGTATGTATGTATGTATGTATATATTTATATATGTATGTATGTATATGTATATATATATATATTATACATATATGTATACAGTTTCAGAGGTCCACGCGGGGACGGGGATAACAGGGATGGGCCCAGACGGGTTGGGACGGTCGGTGTCTTTCAGGGGCCATGTTCGGGAACACTTCTGGGCGGCGTCGGCCCGCTGTCCCAGGCGTTGGGCGAGATCGACGATGCGTTTGACATCATCGAAGAAGATCGTGGTAGGCGCCTCCTGCTTTGGCGCCCCTTCCGACAACAAGCTGCCTGCTGGCCCGGCAACTCCGTGCTTCGAACAACGAAACACGACACAGTTGTACATATGCTTTCGGTCTTCCTCGCGGGTTTCTCGGGTCGGCGCCAGGGCCCGTGGCGGCGCCCCTGGCGCGCTTCGGGTGGGGGGTGGGGCGTCCAGCGCCGACGCAGGAATTCCGTTTGGACTTCCTTTGCCTTTGTCTATGAAAAAGAAACACGTGCCGGACGGTCGTCGGAGCGAGTGGTTTGATCCCTGCCTTGCTGCTGCTGTTACCGTCTGGTACCCACGATTGCCCGTGCGATGCATCGATCGCGTGTTGTGACTTCCAGGCGCCCAGCGCTGATACCGCGGCACTGTCCCCTTGGCGCGGCCACCAGCCCCTGACAGCGCGCACACGCGTCTCTTCCTTGGCGGGGGCCTCGACTGTCATATTCCGATATTTGTAAAATGTGAAGCAGCGAAACAAGGATGCATTCTCGCAGGCCGAGAGGGGTTCCGAACATTTTAGCTTGTACCATTTGTTTCTTGTCAATTTCGCCACGTTTCGTTATGTCGGCCGTGCGTCCCTTACTGAACATCTTCATGAACGACGCCTCCGGAGCAGTCCCGCCGCAGCTGCCAGCGACCCCCTGCAGTCCCGCGGCCTGCACACAGCTTCAATTTTCCGGTTCGGATTGCCCCAGGAAGAGCGGCGCAGAACGTGCAGGTGATCAGGTAGGACGATGACTTGCAGAAAAGATGAGGCAGTGAGGATGTGGGTGAGGATGGAGAGACGAAGAGCAAGGATGGTGATGATAATCATGATGATGGTGATGATGATGATGGTCTTGAGGATGAGTTCCAGAATCTAGAGAAGGATATTCGTGGAGATGGAGGAGGAGTGCTTCGTGTGTGTATGTGAGCATGGGGAGGGAGGAGGACTGATGATGATGATGATGATGATGATGATGATGATGATGATGATGATGATGATGATGATGTTGGTAATGATTCATGACGTTGAATCCGTCACGATGATGACGACGGTGGCGATGATGACGACAACGACGACGGTGGGATTTGTGAGGAAGGGCATCGTGATGATGACGATGACGATGGCAATGATGCCGTTGGTGATGTTGATGACAATGGCTCTGATGAGGATGGCGAGGAAGTGCGCACGGAAACTTTGAGACTATGCAGTTGAGAAACATTGGTATCACATGTTGCTTGGATACTTCTATTTTAAAACGCGTAGAGAACTAATGAGTTTGCGCTCGGGGCCGCGCGCTTGCGCCCAGAATAACATCGTTTTATACAGTTTGCTGGTGCGCCATGATTTGAGGGATTTCGACCTGCGCGCGTGTTTGGCCCGCATGGTCTCACATAAAAGAGTGACAAGCAAGAGTTGTTTTCTGACGATTCCAGGAAGGGTCCGCGAACAAAAATTAAGTTCGTCTTTGGTCTAGTCATGGCTGTTTGTTTGATGGCTTGCATTCCCCAATCAGTGCTTGCACTTAGGGGTTCTTACTTGGGACTGGGCCCGGTTGCCAGTTCCGACGCCTTGCAGGCGCCCGTCGCCGCCCGTCGCCGCCCGTCGCCGCCGCCTTTCGCCGCACCATTTTGGTCACGGTTTTGATTGTGCGAGGCTGGCATTTGAAGCTATGCGCTGGTCTGGCTGGCTTGTGGCCGCCCGTCGCCTCCTTCCGTCGCCGTACTGTGATGGTCACGAGTTTGATTGTGAGAGGCTTGCACTCTGTGTTGCTTTGCGTTGCTTTGCATTGCTTTGCATTGTTTTGCATTGCTTTTCATTGCTTTGCAGTGCTTTGCATTGCTTTGCATTGCTTTGCATTGGTTTGCAATGCTTTGCATTGCCCTGCATTGCCTTGCATTGCTTTGCATGGGTTTGCGTTTTTCTGCAGTGCGTTACATTGATTCATGTTGCTTTGAATTGCTTCGCTTTGCCGTGAACTGCTTTGCATTGTTTTGCGTTGCTTTTTTTGCATCGCGCAGTATTGTGTGGCTGTGTATCTCGTGGTGTTGCTTTGTGTTGAATTGCAGTGCTTCGAATTGCGTTGCATTGCGTTGCATTGCTTCATATTTCTCTGCATTGCTTTGCATCGCTTTGCGTTTCTTCGTTTTGTGTGTATTGTATTGCTTTGCATTGCTTTGTATTGCTTTGCATTTGTTTGCATTTGCATTGGTTTGCATTGCTTTGTATCGCTTTACACTGCTTTGCATGGCTTTGCATTGCATTGCTCTGCAACGCTGCGCGTTGTTTTGCATTGCTCTTCGCCACATATACTGTTCCACATGTATTGCACGACCTAGAATGCACCACATTGATTGCACCACCTCGATTATACCACATGCATTACAATTTATCACAGTTTGGGGTCCACGCTTGCTAGCATTCAACTTTCGTTTGGGAACCAATCGCATTGGACGGATTTTGACATGTGCGCGCTTGTTGCTTAGTTGAAATGGGTGTATCATGCACATGTGACATTCAAGCGAATGCTTCGCATATTATTATTTGTCAGGGATGGGGAGGGTGGGAGGCAGGATGATCGGTCAATGAGGGGACTGGCTGGGAGGGCACTCATTTTTGACGCTTCGTGTATCCCCACCAGCCAACGCTTCGCGTATCCCCACCAGCACATCCAGACACTATGCTCAGCGGAGCTGCCCTGACGGTGGAGCGTGGCATCATGTGGTGGTTATCGGGGGCCTGTTTGGGCCAGAGGCCCCTTGGATACATCCTCGGGTCTCTAGGGGTGTCTCCTGAGGGCTTCTTAGATGCATCTTGGGGCGTCCTGGGGGCCTCTTGCCGACTCTTGGGGGCCTCGTTGGGCCTCTTGGGAGCCTCTTGGGGCTCTCCTGAGGGCTTTTCGGGCCGTCTTGGGGTCATGTGTGAGGTTATCGATCAACGAAGGGGGATCTCCCATAACAGCGCCCCCTCCCCCCAGGAGGCCAAACTTTGTTCAACACCTCCATGATTTGTGCATTCTCGCTGAGGCCTTCTTGAACGCTCTAACGCCTCGCGGCCCCCCGTCCAGACCCAGGGGGAGGAGGCATGGAGCACGCAGGGGAACACGGGTTTTTGAAGAGGGAACGTGTTCAGTCACCTACGCCCTACAGGGCTGGCGGGATTCAATTTAAGTTGAGCGATCGCGCAGAATAGCGACGCAACGCCAATGCGAGGAGGGGTGTCTCTAAGTTCGGCCTCGACATGGGGGTATAGCCTGGTAGTGCTTAGAAGAGAGCATCAAACGGTACCGACCAACCACATACAGCACCACGCATAGATCGCCAGGGCAAGACCGCGAACTTCGTAACCGTCAACGGCAGCATTGCACATCAGTCATAGAGCACCAAGCTTGGCATCACAGGGCATCAGCCAGAGGGCATCACCCATGGAGCACCAGGGTAAGAGCACAGTATGCGCAACCACAAATGCCAGCATATGGCACCAATCATTTTGGTCCACACATCGGGCATCAGGGCAAGAGCGCGAACGTCGTAACTATCAAAGTCATAATGCACCTATGCAAGAGAGCGAACCTCTCAACCACAATTGCCCATTGTGAGCCAGGGGGAGGCGGAGTGAGTGCAGGAGCTGAATGGGGAGGGAGGGAGGGTGGGGGAACAGATGTGACAGGAGGGGAGGAGGAGAGCAGGGGATGTGAAGGGGGTGGGACGGTGAGGGGAGATAATGAGAGTACGACAGGGGAGATGGGGATAGAGGAGGAGAGATGGAGATGTCAGGGGAGGAGCAGGGATGGCGAATCCCAAGCCCCTTGGATCAGCTCAAGCCGTACCGCGGCCGTGTGGGTGATGAGGGCGGCTGGTATCTAAGCCTCCCCCATCCATCCCTCCCCCACTCATCCCTGCTCTCTCCATCCGTCCCTCTCCCAGTGGACTTAGTCGTCCTTTCTCCTTTCCCTCCCCCACCCCGTCCCTCCATCCCTCTTGCCACCGTCCCTCCACCCCTCCCCCATTTCTCTCCCTCCCTCCCTTTCTCCCTCCATCCCGCCCTCCTTCCGTCCTCTTCCTCCTGGTGGGAACACGCCAGAAGGCCAAACTAAAGGGGGTGTGCACAGCGGTCAGAGCCCTCTCGCCAGCGGCAGGTGCGAGGAATTGGTCAAGGACATGACCGCGGACATTATGCTGTCCCACCTCACCCTGATGAAAAAGAGCCGTTGCCACCCTTTTCCTCGTCCACCTTGTTGCTGCCGTGGTATTATTGTGGCTGCCGCTACAGCTTCATTCCCGCCTGCTCATGGTCGGCGGTACTTCATCGCGTCAGATCGAATGGAGGAGTCGTGTTTGAGAGCGTCACGGATACTTCGATACCTGTAACTTCCGCCGCCATCTTAGCAGATTTGCGTTTTCAAGGTTAACTGCTTGCAGGGGTTACCACGGGAATGGTTGCCAGGATGAGTGTTATCAGTTGCTGGAGATGGCCCACGGTGCCCGAACAATGCTCGAACATGCAGGGCTTGGAGGAGCTGGTCGGGAGACGAAGGTTTTGTCTGTAGCTGTCGGCCCTTGCCCCTTGCAATGGCGTGACCTAAACACTATGCAGCTGTTTTCATCCTGGCCAGGCCGATCCTGACCCCATTTCCTATGATCGCTGTGGGCTCCTTCGCGGCCCAGCCAGAAGGGCGGCCACGCCCGTCTAGGTCCCAGGGATGAAACTACCAGGATCGGTGCCTGTGTAAAAGCACAGCAAGTTCGCGCCGCCTTGGCGCGGCAACGCCGCCGTCGTCACGACCCGATCCTGCCGTAGCTGGCGTTCTTCTACCCACACCCTCCCTTGCCCCTCCCTCCTCACGCGCGTATGGTTTTCTCACAGGGTTTCATTAGCTGTATCTTTGTTCCCAACCATTATTTGGTGTGGGGTCCTCGTTTTGAAGAGACAACACCCCTCGTTCCTCACTCCCCCCTCGCCCTCCTGCTTCCTTCCATCCCTGCCTCTGCTCTTCGCATGCCATTTGGCACACCCCTCACCCGTTTCGTGGCCCCATCGGGAGCTCCACCGAGGACCTCCGTGGCGAGTTTGCATGCGTCCGCCCAACCCATGTCGGCACAGCCCTTACACGTTGCGTGGCCCATAGGGAGCTCCACCGAGGGCCTCCGCGGTGAGTACGCATGCGTCCGCCCGACCCATGTCGGCACAGCCCTCACACGTTGCGTGGCCCCGTAAGGGAGCTCCACCGAGTGCCTCCCTGGTGCGTCCGCATGCGTCCGCCTGACCCATGTCGGCACAGCCCTCACACGTTGCGTGACGCCATAGGGGGCGGGGCAGGCTCGCGCACCCCTCCCGGTATCGCTCGTCTAGCTGCCCAGATTCCCCTCGCCCCCTGCCAGTTGCTTCGAGAGTGCCTTCTGTGCTCCCAGCTGCCAGGCTTCACAAAATTGGTGATGGAGTCTACGGGTCGACCCTCCCGCTCCGTTCCACCCCTTTGCCCGAATTGCCCCGCGCCTCGGCCTTCCTGCGGCGCGCTGCCTATGAGAGCAGAGGCTACACTGTGCGCTATTTGGAGTGTGCGTGCCCCCCTCTTTCGTCTCACCTCCCTCCCAGTACTCACAGCTACATACGGTTGGGACCTTCGCCAGGCTATTTTTTACATTCGGAGCGCTGTGGTATTTTATTGTTGTTTGTTTGTTCGTTTGTTTGTTTAGTTTTTATGCCATGGTAGCGAGGGGCTGGCGCGGAAAGAGCCCCACTGGCACCGCGCTACAGAATTGGACGGGAAATCTTCCATGAGGCCCGCTCCCTTAGAGGAGTCTGGGACGACCAGGACGTCTGGCACGACTCGGCGCCAGGGGTCGATCAGGTCCTGTGGAACAGCAGGACCAGCATCTCGCAGACGGCCCCCCCCTGCCTGATTGTGCGGCGCGCCTCCTGACCGCCTACTTCTCGGGCGGTCGGAGGGTGCAGATCGACAGCGAGCCCAGGCCCGCGTGGGGCCGCATGGCAGCGCCCCTGGGATTGACAGAGAACCGTACGAGGTCTACCATCAGGGAGTCACATTTGTGGCTTGCCTCCTGGCCAACGCCTGGTACGTGGCCCAGTCGCAGCCTACTCTGCTGGAGTCAGTACTTGGTCCCTCGGTTGACCTTCTAGTGTGGATACTCAAGGTCTCCAATGCTGTGAGGCCCAACGACCTACGGCCACCGCAGCTCCCCACCAGCATGAGGCGCCTATCTGGGGCCTCCCTGGCTGACCTTATGGAGCCCATGGTTGAACCGCAGCTGTCCCAGGACCAGGCTGTTAAGAGGGGCAGGCAATGTGGCCCCAACATCAAGGCAGCCACTAACAAACTCGCAGCGACCGTGGCCGGCAACAGGCCCCCCGGGGCCGCCTGGTCCGCCCTCCTGGGCACATGAGCGCCGGTCGTCGACGGGTACATGCGGCAGGCCACAGCTGGCAAGGGGCCTGCTCCCACCACAGCGGTTCCATTCGCGGACCTCCCTGCAGTGGCTAGCCGCCCATCTGCGACGGTGGGGCTGCCTAACTGGCTACAGGGCGCCATTCTCGCCCGAGTAGTAAGCCCACAAGCCCAGACCGCCAAAGGGGAGTACACATGGCTGCGGCGCTCCCTGCTGCGTTCTACTGGCATGGGGAGCACGGCGCCCCCACTCCTTTGGTGCATGGCCTACGAGCCAGTGATTGAGGCTACAGCTGCCGCGGCAGCTGGCATATGCCGCACGTACGTTGACGACCTGGCTGCTCTGCTCGACTCGGCCCAGCACGCCCTCTGGGAGACAGTCATGTTCCCATGTGCCTCCCACGCTGCGGAGCTGCTTGTCGTCTCGCACACCTGCAGGGGATTCGCGTTCGCGAGCTTCCCGGATGGCCTGGACAACACCATCGCCTCTACGCCGCTGGACATGGCCGTTCTGCCCAACGGGCATGTCTGCATCATTGGGCCAATCCCTCGCCCTGACCCGGGCCATCCTTGCGCATGACCTGGGGCGCGACGTCGCGGGTAAGGCCTGGCACTGGCAGGACGTCGGCTGGTGCTCATTTAAGACAGCCATGGCCCCGGGGGCTGCCAGCAGCTGGTGGCGCCGTGTCATGGATGCCTCTCTCTGTGGCCACTCGTGCGCCAAGGCCCAGTGGCCATGCCTCCTGGCTACCGTCTCGGCCCGCAGTGATGGAGAAGTGGCGCCCTTGCAAGGATGGGTCAGCAACAGCCGCCTTGAGGCTTTCACGCAGGGTACTTGGGAGAGATCAGTGGCGAAGATGAGGGCGCGATCCCTCGCGCTGCACGCCGCCCGGACGTCGCCCGCCAGGCGCGCAGCAGCGTGGAATGCCTACATCGCCTACCTGGTCCCATACCCAGCGCACTACATCGCCCCGTCGCCTAGCACTGAGCGCGCCATGGGTGTCCACTTACGAGTGGCCATCGGACTGGCAGGTGCGCAGGTGCAACGCGGGCTCCTGGCTTCGCTCTCACGGGCGTCTGGCCCGTCTTCCAGGTCCCAGGATGGCCCCGCTGCCTTGCCGCTGCGGCGAGAGCCATTGCCGCCATGGCCCGCGCTGGGCGGGGCGTCTGGGGCCCCCCCCCAGTCGGGCGGAGGGCCGAAACCCGTGGGAACCAGCTATCCAGATGGGCTGCCTCCCAGCCGTGCCCGCCGAGGTAGCCGCGCCGGCGATCGTGCGTCCGCGCTCCAGGCAAGGCTGCGGCTAGCATGCGATGCTTATGAGCAGCGTTCCAGGTTCTCCGCCTCCCAGCAAACGGGCAACCTGGAAGGGCGAGACCGAGGGGGGCTCGCGCTTCCCCAGCGGCGCGACCAATACAGGTGCCTGGGCGCTGCCGCGTGGCACGCGGCCCCAGGTATCTGCCCCGGCGCCCCGGCGCCCTGCGCCGGAGATGCCTGGGCCACTGGGCAGGCTGCAGGGCCTGGTGGGCCGCGCTGGATTACCAGGTCACCCCAGACAGGCTCGCCGCCGCCTGCAGCGCCGCGCGGCCCAGGGCCGGCCCGCTCGGCGCGCCCCAGACTGCGCGCCCAGCCCGAACGGCTCTTGCCCGCTCTGTGGCTTGGGAGAGGCTTGCAGCACGACGGGTGGGGTGCGCGTTTCTGCCGCGCCTGCCAGCTGCGCTGCCGGGCCCTCCGCGCCAACGTTGGCCCTGGCGTCCTGGCAGGAGTCGACGTGGGAAGGTCTCCCTTCCCCGATCAGGGCCGGGCTTAGTGGCCGATGGAAGTTGGAATCCAGTGCTCCTTTTTCGTGGGGCAGTTGTATAGGAAGGGGTGCAGAGGATGCGGTGTTTTCATTGTTTGGAGGAGTTCGTGAAGTCAGTAGGGGTGGGGATTTGCGTGCTTCGAAGAAACCGCGCCCGCCCGAATCGCAATCGCGTGGTATATTTGCGGGCCGCTGACATGTCGCGTTCCGTCGTCGTCCTTCCCCTTGCTCCTATCTCCCATCTCCCTTCTCTTTTCTTTACCCCCTGGGTGCGGTCGAAGGTGGCTGCGGCTTTGGCGGAGGGGCGCCCTTTTCCTCCTCCCCCTCATTCCTCGCCGCTCTTCTTCTTTGCATCCCTGCTCCCTCCTCCTCCGTCGCCCCACCTTGGCCCCCCTCCCTGCTCCGAGAACGGGGGGTGATGGGGCGGCGCGCCCGCGTTCGCATGGCGCTTCCCGTTCGATATCCGCGCGCAGCGAACCGGCCAAGTAGAGGGCGTGCCCAACGCAAGCGTTCGGGGCGCACTCCGAGCGCCGGCGGCACCAGCCGCCAAAGGCAGTCGCGGCGCTAATCTTACAAGTTTTTGGTGCCTGCGGCAAGGCCCGCCGCTGTCCGGCGCAGCGGTCCGAACGGCGACGCTTCGAGCTATATTTGCTCAGGCGTCCAGCACGTGCGACATCTGTCATGTAATCGGACTGGTGTCGGGCCGTCTTGGGGGTCCCATCGGGGCCCTCTTCGGACGTCGTGGGGCCGTTCGGGGCAGCCTTGGCGCTGCGTTCCACGGTGGCGGCCCCGGGCCCGGGATGCGTGTATTTGCAGTCTCTGGGGGCCGCCCTGGGCCAGGGAAGTATGCGTTCACGCCCCCCCCGCCCCCCCCCCCCTAGCTGGGGGCGTCGACTTCGATTTAGGTCCGTCATAGAAGGGGTGGTGCCTTCGAGGTGGCGAGCGTTTCCTTTTCCGAAATGCACCAATCAAGGTGTGATAAGTGCGCGCGCAGTTTGTGT